AAAACCATCCTCTTTCTGAGTGAAAACTGCCACCAAAGAATAACTTCCAACCCAATGACATTCTAATTCAAAAACATGTTTGTCCCAAGCAACCAAAAGGCCTCCTAACAAACCAAGTGAAGGCTTCTCAATCCAACCCATTCACTGTCTACCACTAATCACGCCAACAATGGAATCACTACAACTTTCTAACTTTGTCTCTTGAAAACACAACAAAGAAGGACGAGTAGGATCAAGAAAATCTCTAATTTGAAACTATTTAGATGATCCTCTCAAATCTCTCACATTCCAAGAAACCATTTTAAATATCATAAGAGATACGGAGTGGAACAGACCCATTTTGGTGAGCCCGACTAGTAGTCACAATCATGGAAACATCACCATGCTCTACCTCAAGCTGTCGAAGAGCCCTTTCTTGTGGAGACATAGAAGGTGCTCTCTTTCTTCTCGATAAGACTTCTTTCATTGTCTCCTCCCTTGGTGCATCTGAAGAATCCAAACTGTCCTCCATCCTTAATGAGACTAATCGACCCAAAAGAGAAATCTTTTGCAGCATTATCTCTTCCTCAGATCCTTGAGAACAATCATCCACTGAGTTTACCAAATTTTCTAACATGGCAGAGCTCTTGTGCGGCTTGGCAATAAACTGAAGGGGACCAACTTAACTTCTGGACTGTATCATGATTTACAACAGTTGAAATGGGCCAAGCAAGAAAAGCCCACCAAAATTGCAATAACAACTGAGCTTTGGAATGAACAAATAAACTCTTAAAAGAGGGGTTTCGTGGTTACTGTTTGTTAGGGTCACGTCATTAGGGGGGAAAGTTTTGATTAATTAGGGTTCTTCTAGGTTTAGCAGACCCATCTGATTTCTTAGGGTCCATTTATTAGGGTCCTTACTAGCTTGAGTAACCCCCCAGTCTTATTTATTAGGGTCCATATGGTATGGGTTTAGTGGTTCCCCTTCTTTTTCCTTTGTAGAATAAACGAAGAAGGAATGGGATGTTGGGGTTAGGTCACATCAAAATCAATTTATTTGCCTTCCAAAAATTCATTCCTTGGAATTGGAAATGTTGTCTATACAAAGAATGTGATGAAAGTGCCCTTTCTCTTTCTTCTTTCTGGAAAAGACGACCAAGGAATGGGGTCTTGGGGTTAAGTTCACATCCGCATCTATCTATTTGCCTTACAAAAAATTCATTCCTTCCAAATTCTTTCGTTCAAGGCGTCTCTGTCTGAAGGAGTTTGTGGCGGTAAGGAATTTGCCTCCTTTCTTCTTCTTTAATTTGCATGGCAATTTATCGGTTGGGGATTGTCAGCGATTCACCTGGCCTGTCGGAATGGGGTTTTTTAGGTCCCCTTTGTCGTTATATATATTTGCTTCTTCTTTTTTGGCCTCATTTGCTTCTGGGTTCATTGTCACTGATACTTTACTATGGGTGGGAGTTTCTTCTTCCTCTCTACTTTGGCCATATGGTATCTCACAAGCTGCTTGCTGATCGTGATGGTCCAGAAACGATGCTTAAGCTCCGGTTGGTTCATGCCTGGGGTTCTTATTCAATCAAGAATCCAGAGCAAATTTTTTTCGTATTGTACGCTGTGGAATGATGAAGAGGTTGGTTGTTAATTGTTTTTGTTCAATTTTGTGGTTTTCGCTGTCCTGTTCAATTTTGTGGTTTTCGCAGGGAACTTTGATATAGGGTACCACTTTGTCTTCTTTGACTGGTTATTTTGGTGATCGTCTTCGGCTTGGTTCTGTCTATTTTGTGCACGGGGTGAAGGTCCAGCCTCCTGGTAGCATCATCGTTGTTGTTCACACCGGTTGACCATTGTCCTTTCCCAGGATTCTGTGTTTGAGGAGGTGCCTGAGTGCGATCCTCCTTTTTGGCGAGACGCCCTTTGAATTTCTGCCTTTTGGCTCTCTTCAATCTCGTGTTGGTTCTCTTGTTTATCTTATAAGTGATGGTTTGGCGTGTGTTGTTTTTGTTGGTTTTTATCTAATTATGGTTTTTGACTGTTCATTTTATTTTTGTTGTAGATATCGTTGGTTAAGTAGTTAGTGTGACTAGTATCTCTCATTTTGTTAACAACTTTGGCGATACAGTTCGTAGAGACTTGGTTCTGCATAATGAAAGGTTTTTTGTCGTCTTTGTTTATATATGATTTTATGTTTCGTGGTTTCACAAATATATGTTTTTTACCTGTTATGTTTGTTGTGTTAGGCATATAAAAGTGACTGTTACTCTTTGGGGAAACCAAACTACTTGTGCTGATCATGAGAGGATTTTGGAGGTCGGTCAAAATGGACCTGTGTTGCTTGGGTTTGGAAGTCTTAAAGTTTCTGTTACGTCATCAGGCAAGCTTTTGCAATCTGTATTCCTTTCTGGTAGTCACTTCCATTTTGTGGAATTTGATGTTGGTTTTTCTGCAGGTGACTTTGTACTGTCTAGCACACCAGCAACTCGATGTGTATTTGATCCAATATCAGAGATGACTGAGCTCATCCGATCTGTGTATGTGTTTTGTTTGAGGGTTTTTGTTGAACTTATTTCTTGCTTTCTTATGTTTTTTGTGTTGGTGTTAGGTGTTTTGCACAAAGAAATCGTTACATTCCTCCTCGTATATATGAAACTGACGACGAAGATGATTAAGATTTGAGATATGCGGGTGAAGAAGATGAAAATGAGGGGAACGATGAGGATTGGGGTCTTTGTGAGCCCCATACATCTTACTACACAAATACCCCACCCCATCCACTATATCCTTCCAATGAAGACCCTGGGGTGCATATGCCAGTGTGGATTCCAATGCTGAGTTTGAGGTGGGTATGGCATTTGCTACAAAGGAAGCTACGAGCGATGCTTTTAAATAAGAAGCTCTACGGCGGAATTTTGAGTGGAGGGTAAAATATTCGGACCAAAAATAACTTCATGTCATTTGCTAGAATGCTGTAGACGGCTGCTAGTGAGAACTACAAGTTGCATGGAGAAAAAAGAGGGTGTAATTACGTGGTTGTTATGTTATTAGCTAGATTATATTTAGGTTTATTATTAGGATTCAATTATTTTCCTATAAATATGTATGTGCATATCCCTTAAAGATTATATAAGAATAATAATAGAAAAATATCCATGAAATACAATATTGTCACTCTTCCTTCTGAAGGTTGCCAACCATTCTTCTATATTCTTTGCTAATTTCTATTTCAATCCCTAATCCCTGATTCCGTTCTTCCAATTGTAAACACTAATTCTACCCAAGTTTCATCAAATTCCTCTCAATTTTCTTCTAAAATATCATGTCACAACTAGGGATGGTAATGGGCAGGTTTGGGTCAAATTTGGCTAAATTCATCCTCATTCTAATTTTACTTTGTAAATCCATATACACCCCATCCATGTATGTGTGGAGGGTTCTTATTCACATCCTTATGCCCGCGATTTTCGGATACCTGTTGATGATAGACTTCTCAAAACTACGAACAAAATTCAACTTAAAATTGATTTAGTTGAGTGAAAACACGTACGATTTTAGTGCTAGAATTTTGAACATAATTATGTATATAAATGAACCACATACAGTATGAGAAACATAACAAAAAATTTAAGGGATAAAAGGTTTCATGTATATAATGATGGAACTGATGAAAAAGATGAAATAAAAGATTTTAGCTTTAAATTATTTTAAAATTTTAGTTCGTGGTTACTGTTTGTTAGGGTCACGTCATTAGGGGGGCAAGTTCTGATTAATTATGGTTCTTCTAGGTTTAGCAGGCCCATCTGATTTCTTAGGGTCCATTTATTAGGGTCCTTACTAGCTTGAGTAGCCCCCCAGATTTATTTATTAGGGTCCATATGGTATGGGTTTAGTGGTTCCCCTTCTTTTTTCTTTGTAGAATAAACGAAGAAGGAATGGGATGTTGGGGTTAGGTCACATCAAAATCAATTTATTTGCCTTCCAAAAATTCATTCCTTGGAATTGGAAATGTTGTTTTATACAAAGAATGTGATGAAAGTGCCCTTTCTCTTTCTTCTTTTTGGAAAAGACGACCAAGGAATGGGGTCTTGGGGTTAAGGTCACATCCGCATCTATCTATTTGCCTTACAAAAAATTCATTCCTTCCAAATTCTTTCGTTCAAGGCGTCTCTGTCTGAAGGAGTTGGTGGCGGTAAGGAATTTGCCTCCTTTCTTCTTCTTTAATTTGCATGGCAATTTATTGGTTGGGGATTGTCAGTGATTCACATGGCCTGTTGGAATGGGGTTTCTTAGGTCTCCTTTGTCGCTCTATACATTTGCTTCTTCTTTTTTGGCTTCATTTGCTTCTGGGTTCATTGTCACTAGGGCTGCAAACGAGCCGAGTCGAGTCGAGTTTTTGCTATGCTTGAGCTCGGCTCGTTTATTAATTTTTCAGCTCGAGCTCGGCTCGAACTCGAATTTTGATAATCCAGCTCGAGCTCGAGCTCGGCTTGAATAAAAATAATCTAGCTCGAGCTCGACTCGGTAGAGCTCGATAAATGCTCATTAACATAGCTTGTTAAGCTGAGTACAAGCTCGGCTCAAGATGAGCTCGATTTAAAATCATTTTTGCTGGAAAAATGTATAAACATAAGAATTTAAATGATAGAAAGAACACTAGAAACTAGAAATAACATCTAAATTTCATACACATCTGTATTATAAGACAATGTTCATGTTTAAAAGAGTAATTCATCCTTCCACAAGCTCAAAACAAGGCAGCTCGCGAGCTTAGCTCGACAAGACACCGAATCAAGCTAGCTCGCGAGCTTATCAAGCTGAGCATGGTCTAGCTCAGGCTTGGCTCGTTAACTAACGAGTTGGCTCGCGAGCCGGCTTGTTAAATAACGAGTCGAGTGTCGAACGAGTTTTTTCCGATTCGAACGCCGAGTTGCTCGCGAGCGGCTTGGCTCATTTGCAGCCCTAATTTGTCACTGATACTTTACTATGGGTGGGAGTTTCTTCTTCCTCTCTACTTTGTCCATATGGTATCTCACAAGCTGCTTGCTGATCGTGATGGTCCAGAAACGATGCTTATGCTCCGGTTGGTTCATGCCTGGGGTTCTTATTCCATCAAGAATCCAGAGCAAATTTTTTCGTATTGTATGTTGTGGAATGATGAAGAGGTTGGTTGCTAATTGTTTTTGTTCAATTTTGTGGTTTTCGCAGGGAACTTTGATACAGGGTTCCGCTTTGTCTTCTTTGACTGGTTATTTTGGTGATCGTCTTCGGCTTGATTCTGTCTACTTTGTGCACGGGGTGAAGGTCCAGCCTCCTGGTAGCATCCATCGTTGTTGTTCACACCGGTTGACCATTGTCCTTTCCCATGATTCTGTGTTTGAGGAGGTGCCGGAGTGCGATCCTCCTTTTCGGCGAGACGCCCTTTGAATTTCTGCCTTTTGGCTCTCTTCAATCTCGTTTAAAATTAAAGAATGGGCTTAAAAGATCAACCCAACCTAATATCTCTCTATCCAACCCAATGAAATAAGATAAATCTGGCTCATTCCCAACAAATATCATTTGGGCCTCACTACCCTTTCCCACAACGAAAATTGAGAAGAAACTTCTGACTTCTCCCACATCCCTAGCCGCACCAAGAGAAGAAGAAACGTCTCCTTCTGAAATAAAAGATACCAGCACTTCAACTGTTAGAACACTAAAAACATGTCTCTCTCTTCTGTCTACCTAACGGAAACTTTCTTTGAACTCTCCAACGGTTCATTTCCCGTCCCCTTCCGTGGGACTTCTACAGCCCAATCTAAGGGCAACTGTAACGAGTACTTAGCTAAGGATTATGGAAGCTGTCGAATGGAGGAAAAGCAAGGGGCGGGTAGAGGGCCTCAATCCCCAACAAGCGAAGCTCCAAAAGGGATGGGACAATACAGGGGAAGCTCTGTTCAGCTTTTTGGGAAAGGGACAATATGGAAGCCACCGGATTTGCGGGAGAATATCTTCCAATGTCAGAATAATAAAAGGAGAAGAGGGAAAAGAGGGAGTAGAAGATCTAGGAAGATCTCTGATGCAATTTATGGCACGAACTGGGGGCAAGAAGAAGGAATCCTTGAGCCAAGAGCCCCTGCAACAGATGGGGAAAAACAGAGGATGGGAAGGATCAGTCAAGAAGAGTATAATGAATGCTTTGACAGGAGAGGCAACCATCCCCAGCAAGAGGACAATGGAAAGAGCAGACAGATGAATAGCCTTAAAGAGGGCAGAGAAGCTTACCTACGAAGGAGAAGCCATAAAGAAGACGAGGAAGAGAGAAGGGTATATGCTTGTATAAAGAGGCTCCAAATAGACTCTCCCTTCTACCTAAAAATCCAGCTTCTCTACCCTGAAAAGACACAACCCTTTGCAAAGTTCCAGCTTCTCTACCCTGTAAAAACTCAACCCTCGGAAATAGAAAGTTACCTTCTGCTTAACATGGAAACCAACAGAAGCCTCATATCATCTTCATCAAAAGGCAGAGAAGGACGCCCAAACCTGTCATCTTCGGGAGGGAGGGGAATCGCCATGTTGCTGGGGAAAATGCTCACAGAGAACAAGGTGGCTCTGGCAAAGGCAGCGGGTGCAGCACGCTATGCCTGGGGAGGGTATGGGGAGGTGAATGTCCAACCCACTGATTCGCAAAATCTCTTCTTATTCACTTTCAATAATGAGGAGACAAGGGAACGAATATGGAGGGACAGACCATGGAGCTTGTCCAATACGTTGACAGCGATAGAGAAGTACAATGGAAGAGGAAAACCAGAAGACACAACAATGGAGAAGCTGGCTATGTGGGTGCAGATCCATGGATTGCACCAAAATCAAAGGATCGAGAAGAATATGGTGTCGATTGGAACCTATTATTTCCAGGGGCTGCTCGATATCGATAGAGCTAGCCTAGATTTCAATGGCTATAGAAGGTTTCTGAGGATATTGGTGGAGGTTAATCTCGAAGAACCTGTTCCTACAGGGTTCGATTTCCCCTTTACCGATGAAGCCACAGGGATCGAGCACTGTGATGTGATTGAGTTCAAATACGAAAGGCTAGTGGAGCTATGCTATTTCTGCGGAAGAATCGGCCATAATTGGCCATCATGTTGGAGGATGAATGAGGAGAGGAGGAAAAACGGAGTCGCCTACCTATCGGATATCTACAATTCATCTCTGAAGGCAGGCATCGACTCTCCCCACAGGCAGCACTCCTCGAGCAACAGAAGCAGTAGGGAGGGGGGCAGGAACACAAAACTCGTCCATTGGGAGAGACAGAACAAGATCGGAAAGTGTAGCCAGATCGGGAGGGGAAGAATCGGGCGGCACGACAACGGGAGGAAGAAGCTCGGAGGGGTATCAACTGATCCCGCCGGGTTTTACAGTCCGAAGGTTGGAACAAGAGGTCCAAGAAGATGAAGAGCAAGAAATACAAGGAAGGCATAGAGGCAGATACAGGATCGGAATGGGGGCGAAAGATCTGGGGCTGGTAATGGACAGGGCGGCGGAAGCAATGGAAGGAGGGTTACATTTGGAGGAGGAGAGAATTCTCCTGGAGGAAGGGCAGAGGGAAGTGGAGGTGGAGACAGGCCTCACACTTGGGCCGAGTCTCCAAGCCCAATCTGATCAGGCCACTCAGGGGTGGTTGGGCCTTGCTACTCCTGCCAACTATCAGCATGCGAGTGAAGGTCTGGAGGAGGAAGTGGGCCGCTGTCTGAAGAAAAGGAAGGGGACAGGCCTTGTTAGTGATCTGAATGCTGAAGGGCACAACTCCTTTAGCCCATTTGAGGTAAATTTTGTGGGTGGGCCTGGTGGGAATACTAAGAAGAAGAAAAACCAGAAGTATAAATCGCAGCAGGGGGATAGATCGAAGGGGATCCAATCGGAGGGGGATCAAGAAGACCCAAGAAGGAAAGGGAAGGCAACGGTGGTTCGCCAGAAGCCACCTCTTCAAAAATGAGTATCGTAAGTTGGAATTGTAGGGGGTTTGGCCCACCCCTTACAAGAAGTTATGCAAAGCGTCTTTGTAAACGCTTAGGCCCTTCTATTGTTTTCCTCATGGAAACGAGTAAGAACGAAGCATTCATGGAGGAGCAAAGAAGAAGTCTCAAAGTTTTCCCCAATAGAGAGTATGTTGAACCGGTCAACTCTTCGAGGGGTTTTGCATTATGGTGGAAGGCGGGTATTAGCATAACTGTGTTAAGTAGTGATAGCTATTATATGGATGTTAGTATTGATATGGGTAGGAAATTTTTTTGTATTTTCGTTCATGCACCCTCTACCGCAGTTAGTAGAAGGGGTTTTTGGGAGCACTTGAGCTCTCTTCGGAGTAGTAGGGATGATAATTGGGTTGTGATAGGGGATTTCAATGCTGCTATCTATGAAAATGAAAAAGAGGGTAGATGTCCTCTTAGATATGAGAATGTGGAACCCTTTAAAAGGTTCATTTTCCATAATGCTCTTATTGATCTAGGGTTTAAAGGGGAGCCTTTTACCTGGACTAATAAGAGGACGGGGCAGAATACAACGAGAGTTCGTTTAGACCGAGTTCTTTGCTCGGCTTCTTGGAGAACCCTTTTTGGGGAGGCGGTTGTCTTCCATGAGAAGATGGTGGAATCGGATCATTGCCCCCATTAGACTGGAACTCCACTACAGAGGCAATAGAAGGAGGAAAACGCCATTTAGGGTGGATGAGAGATGGCTTGAGAAAGAAGAATGTAAGGAAATTGTGACTCGAGCGTGGGATCCGGGGGGCCAATCGTCCAACCAGCTGAGCAAATGTGAGCAGGATCTAAAGGAGTGGTCAAAGGAGTTCCATAAAAATAGGTTACAAAGGGAGAATGTTATCCTTGATCGACTTGAGGTACTCCAACGCCCACCCAGAATCCAGGGGACAGTGGATGAAGAGAAAAATCTTATGGAAGAATTGTCGAAGATTTGGATGGAAGAGGAGGCTTTCTGGAATCAGTGCTCAAGGGTAAATTGGCTTCAGAAAGGTGACCAGAATACTTCCTTTTTCCATTCAAGTACGATATATAGAAAACATAAGAACAGAATCCTTAGACTGAAGGATAATGAGGGAATTTGGGTAGAGGATGAGAATAGGCTGAAAGGATTAGCGCAGGATTTCTATAAAGAGCTTTTTAAAGCTAGAAACCCTATTCCAGTCAATCAACTTTTGGAGGGATTCCCAGGGAGCGTAACAGCATAAATGAATGAGGCATTATGTGCACCGGTGACCAGTGAGGAGATTAGAAAAGCAGTCTTTAGCCTAGGAGCGAAAAAAGCCCCCGGCCCGGATGGTTTCTCTGGCCGGTTCTATCGAAGATTCTGGGATATCATTGGGGAGACGTTGTGCAGAGAAATTAAAGAGTTCTTTGAGTCAGCCTCAATGCCCGATGGTTGGAATGATACGCATATTGTTATGATACCCAAGGTTGATAACCCAGATTCGATTAGCCAGTTTCGTCCAATCAGTTGCTGTAATTTTAGATATAAAGTTATATCAAAAATTATGGCAACACTCCTCAAGATCTGGACGCCCTTTCTGGTCTCGAAACTCCAGACGGCCTTCATTGGGGGGAGACTTATTCAAGATAACATCATCATTGTCCATGAGGCGCTCCATCATTTTAAGAAACATAAGCGGGGAAGAAGAAGAGACATGATGCTAAAACTTGATATGAAAAAGGCGTACGATATGGTTGATTGGGATTGCTTGGAAAACCTGCTGAAGAGCTATGGGTTTGATGAGAGATGGTGCAAGTGGGTGAGTTCGTGCATCCGGTCGGTCAAATTTTCCATCCTCTTCAATGGGGAAGCTACGGACGAGTTCACACCGTCCCGAGGCATAAGACAGGGAGACCCTTTATCCCCTTTTCTCTTCATTTTGATGTCTAATGCTCTATCCTTTTTAATTGATAAGGCCGTTTCCCAGGATCAGTTAAAAGGCATCAAACTTAACTCTAGATGCCCTGTGCTTACCCACTGTTTATTTGCCGATGATACTGTCATTTTTGGTAGGGCTAACCATCAAGAAGCTGAGAAAATCTTGGAGCTGATAAGAGATTATGGGGCAATCACAGGACAAGAAGTCAATATCAATAAGTCTTCAGTTTTCTTTAGCGCGAATGTCCCCAGTGAAGACAAAACCAGTATTACTGACCACATTGGATTCTCCTCTTCTAATTGCCATTCTAAGTATTTGGGAGTTCCGACGGAGCGGGGAAACTCAAAGAAGGAGACATTTCAATTTCTCATCCAAAGAATGGAGAAGATGGGGGAGGCATGGAAAAGTCTCCTTCTCTCGCATGGAGGGAAAGAAGTTTTGCTCAAAGCCGTCATTCAAGCTATCCCCACTTACATCATGTACCTGTTCCATCTTCCGGTTTCTCTTACCAAGAAAATGGACTCTCTTCTCACCAACTTCTTCTGGTCAGGCTCTATGCAGAAGAGTAGTCTTCATTGGTGTAGGAAAGAGATCCTATGTGCTCCTAAAGCGGAAGGGGGTTTGGGATTTAGGAGCTTCAAAGACTTTAACTTGGCCGTTTTGGGTAAGCAAGCATGGAGGCTTTTAAATTCCCCCGATGCCCTATGGTGTCGTCTTCTCAAGGGCCTCTATTACCCGAGAGGGGAGTTCCTCCATGCAAAAAAAGGAAACAGATCTTCTTGGATCTAGGCCAGTCTCTGGGAAGCAAAGAAAGTGATCAATATGGGAGCCATTAAGGTCATTGGGTCGGGAAAGGATACATGGATTGGGCGGGACCCGTGGATCCCTACTCTGCAAAACTTCGGCATTAGTAGTGGACCCCAACAGAACATTAGGGTTAACGAATGGATCAACCAGGGGGACAGGAGCTGGAACTCCGAGTTTTTGCAAGGCCACGTCTCTATTGAAGAGATGGATGCTATCCTTCGAGTCCCGGTTGGGGAAGAAGGATCTGATGACTTTTGGGCATGGTGTCTCAATCATGCGGTTCACAAAGCAAACACAAACTTTCAACAGTCAGGGAATGCAGAGAATTGGAAATGGATCTGGGGGCTAAACCTCCCGCCCAAGCTTAAGTTCTTCATCTGGAGATGCTCCAGAAACGGGTTGGCAACTAAAGAGAGGTTGTTTCACCGGAAATGTGCCCCAAACCAGACTTGTGAAGTTTGCCAAAACCCACACGAATCCATTATCCACTGCCTCTTTTTTTGTCAGCATGCTAGGGACTCCTCGAATGCTATCTTCCCATCCCTTCCTCTCCCACCCCTGAATACCCCGTTTTTTGATTGGTTCTGTGCTCTGAAGGATTCGATCTCCCATGACTCACTGATCCACATCGTCTTCCTGTGCTGGAATATTTGGAAGGCAAGGAATGAGCGTACCTTTAAGAATCGAGTTCCCTGGCCCCCAAATGTCTGCACACAGGCCTTTAGGGATTTCACGGAATGGACTTCCTGTCCGAGGTCCCCGCCTCCCAGTTTCACCTCTCCTACTCAGCTCAGGGGAACCCAGCATACTACGAGTCCCCCGCCAAGTAATCACTCGTTGGTGATTCACTGTGATGGGTCGTTCTTAAGCGACTCCCAGACGGCGGCATATGGTGTTGTTGTTGTTAACCACCATGGACAAGTGTGTGATGGACGAGCTGAGACACTTCTTTGTTCCACCCCGATAGAAGCGGAAGCGAAAGCTCTTCTGGAAGGTCTAATTAGCACAAGAATATGGATCAGAATGTACAGTTCAATCGGATTGTCAGATGTTGGTGAATGCTATGAATCATAATCAGTCTCGTTGGCCCTGGAGATGCGCTGCCTGGATTAACTCTATGGTCACTATTCTTAGGGCGAATCCGAATATTAATGTCAAAGAGGTTCCAAGGGCATTAAATGTCAGAGCTGATTGGGTTGCACGATCGAAGGCTCGATCTACATTGCCAGATGACTGGATCAATATTCTTGATTTAATTTCTGATCTCCTGTAATTGTCCTCGCTCGTTTCACGAGTTTCTTTCGATGGTGAAATAAAAGTCGTTAATATTGTCAAAAAAAATAAATAAATAAAAGATACCAAATCTCTTTTGCATGCACATGTATCAAGACCAGAGACGTCTTCTGATCTAAAACCCAGTGAAATATCAACATCAGCTTCCTTGCATTTTTCATGCCTCTCATCCTCGATATCCATTACAATCTTCTTTCTACCACTCTCTCTACCCGATGACTTGACTCCACCACTTCTAAACCAACAGCTTTTTGCACAGACGGCTTCGTCAAAAAGCAACGTGATCGTCCCTGTGACGCCACCTCACTCGCCACTCTCTCTTTGCGGACGTAATCTCCACGCCCTTTCCCCCTCCACCCGTGAAGAAATTTAGACCCAGAGTCAATGGCATCCTGGATCACCGCCAATTCTAATGAAACTGTGACCGGGAAGACCAACGAACCATAACAAATTGGAATTTGATTTGGGACAAGATCGTGTGGAACCAGGCGGATTCTAGCTTCATTCCAAGAAAGACCCTTATTCTGGATTTCCTTCACCTCACCACAAAAATTACTTAGCTGAGCCAATACATTGTCGGAGCGTACCCAAACCTCCCCAAGAGAAAGATTTACAGTCGTCTCCCTACATTTGCGATCCAAGTATCTGCAAAAACTCAAAAATTCTTGAAACTCCATCGGTTAAGAGACATAATTCGGCTAACCTCAGCCGGCGACGAACACCGTAACAGCCGAAGGCCATCACTCAACGGAAAAAGCTCATAATATACCACTCCCCAATTTTTCTTAACCCAAATCCGAAAGTCATGGGATCCCCTCCCCAACCAAACGAAAAACCAGACAACTTCGAAGATAAACCTCTCTCTTCTTCACCCCCTGTTGTGAAACCAACAGAGCCTTTGAACCTTCAATGGTGCTAATAGAACAAATTCCTTCTGATGACCATTCATCCATCTTAAACAGTTCTGCATA